CAGTAAGGTGTGCAGCCTTTTCGTCTGGATATGCCTGCATGCAGGCATGCATGTCGTATGTCTGTATATATATATAGGTTATTCTATGCTCTTCTCTTCGCTTCTCTGCTCTTGTTCCAGCCTGTTCTATTCTCTTGTACTCCCTAAAGGTCTAAAGTGATAGAACCCCAACAGAGTGTTGTTTAGAGTGCACGTTGCGCTTGCAAAACTCCCCAAGTTCGTCTTTCTTGCCAGCCTTTGCTCCGCCTGGCGGCTGGGGGATCTCGGCACTTCCCACGGCCGCGGCCGTGGTGAAATCGTGCGGCAGGCCTGGGGCTGGGAGTGCGCCCGGGGAGGTTCCTTCGTTCGCTTCTTCTGGGGGCGGTGAAGGCATCTGCAGGGGTTCGGGGCTGGAGTCAGTGTTGGGAGCTGGCCTGCAGCTTCAGGATGTTCTCTTGAAGGGGGACGCCCGGCATAGATTCTGGCAAACTTGCAAATCGTCAGCTATGACGCTAAGCACGATGAGCCCTTTATCCGGCTTTCCGAACAGCGTGTCGTCGAGCGTGGCGTAAGAAGCTCTCCGTCACCAGGTTCTCGAACAGATTGCTGCTGCCGGGGGACCCAGATCGGAGCAGTCGCCCTGTTGCTGCGGAGGTCAAGACAGGATTTTCTGGGCCCTCTGTCTTTTTTTCCTCGCACCGAGGCGGGCAATGCCTGGACCTCATCCGACGCATCGCTAGCTGTTCCAGCCCCAGATTCTGAGGGATTGCGATGTGGCTACATGTCTTGCTTTGCGGGCTACTTGTAGCAACCTGAGCAGTGGTGTGCACATGGTGGCCTGTCAAGCAGTCCGGAACGTCTATTATGTGTTTTTCAAGCCGGTTCAACTCGTGCTAATGCCACGTGGGCTCTGAGCAGTAGCTCAGTCACTTCAGCTAGGCTGGAGCGCAACATGTTTGTCGAACGTCAAGGTGGGTTGAGTTGGGTGTCACAGTGCCTCAGACCTCGCCGTCTGCAAAGGTGCATGTCAAAGACAACCAGCTTGTCTTCGTCGAAGAAACTCTCCTTGAGCCGCCCGTCCTTGAGAAGCTCGCAGGGAATTCGGCTCTGGTCTCATTCCTTCCGTCGTGGCCTCTACTCCAGGAGTCCATGGCGCCTTCTTGTACAGGGCTTCATCGGGGTAAGAGGCGTTTTAGGGGATCTGCAGTCTAATCACAAGCTCAATCACCGGCCTTACAAAAGCGCTGCAGTGCCCCTCCTGCGAGTCACATCCGCATTCTCAAGCCTTATATGGATTGCAACCTGACTAAAGACAGCCCATGCCGTGGGATCTCGACTCAGGTTTAGAATACCTTTGGTCTTTGCAGACGTGGCTTGGATCACCTTGGAAAGAGGCAGGGCGACCGTCGACTCGAAAGCCAGCCCGTGCAGCAATCCTAAGTTGGCGGGATTTCCAGCGTGAGGATTTTGTCAGAGAGGGCTCGAGTCCAAACAACTTCTGCCCCACGTTTGCTCCGCACCATCTGTGGACAGTATGACTCCGAAACTGTCCGTGTTATATGCTTCGCATATGTTTGTATTTATACAAATGTGATACATGCTTGCATGTATATGATTATATATGCACGCAGATATCTAGACAGACAGATAGATAGATACGACGGACTGGAACAGTGGTGTTGGTGCTTGATCTGCTATGACCTCCGATCCCCAGTCCTCCAGGTGCAGAGCGCTCCTCACCATATCCTTCGGGCTCCAGCAGAGGGGCCAGAGCTCCGGAGGTCCTGTGGAAAGTGCTGCGTGAAGGGGTGCTGGGCAGGGCTGGCCTTTTGTTCAGTAGGTAGAGGTTTTGGTTGCTGTCGGGTCGCTTGTCATACTGCCTGAAACAAAGGTAGCTTGTTTGGATCGTTGAAAGATGTTGATGTCTCCGTATGTGCCCGTGACAGGTGCAACACCGGTGTGTCTTTGGGCTGTCACCGAGATGGCCAATGATGCAGTGGCATGCTCAGCACTGATTTTTGCACCACGCCGTGGAGGTGTGCAAAAGTTGGCACGGCAAAGCAGCTTTTGTCAGAAGTGCACCGACAACATGTGTTCAACAAGAGAAAGTTTTGGAATCTCTGACCAACTGGCCGGCTGCCGAGCCGAGTCTCGCTTGTGAAAGCAGTGCGCTCCAGACGGACTGAGGCTTGGCACGGCCAAGGGCGTCGAGGAGACCTCTCCTACAGGGTAACGGCGGGTGTTCCGCTTGGCTTTGAGTCTACAGAGTCGTCAGAGCCATTCTTACGGCGAGGAGACAGACGTCGAGGAGATATGGCTCGTCTGCGCCAGCTTCGGGTGTCTGGGCATTTGTGCATTGAGGGTTTAGGCTGGTGCCCTCAATCCACACTACGTATTGCTGTGCCTTCGGCATACAGGCTAGAGCCTGCAGAACGGAGCTGTGGTTCTGGGGGTTGCTCCATTCTTCCTGGAAGGTCTCTGATGGCATGGCTGATTAATTTTAACGCTACGCCGCCCGCCTCGGCTGTGTAGCGGCAGGGCGAGGGGGCAGTCGATTTTTTTTAATGCTACACCGGCCTTAGACGGTTGAGAACTGGTACAAGGGGGTGGGGGGGGGGGGGGGGGGGGGGGGGGGGGGGGGGGGGGGGGGGGGGGGGGGGGGGGGGAGGGGAAGGGGGGGGGGAGGGGACAAATCAGGAAAAATGAGGGGGGAGGAGGGGGGGGGAAGGCCTGGGAGAGGGGGGGGAGGCCGACAAATCAGGTAAAATGAGGGGAAGCCGGGCAAGGGGGTGGCAAACGAACGCAAAAAACGGGTGTCCCCAAACATTTGGACTGCAGGGAGGAGGATTAGGTGGAGGGTACCTGAGCTAACCCGCAAGACGCCTGGGCCTGTGGCCTCGGCGGATTAGGGAGAATCGCCGTCTGCGATTGAATCCAGGAAAACATTCAGGGATGTGCAATATCCCAGACACGAATTACCGTCTTCATGAGGTCCCGGGTTTCGCCAATACCTATTTGCCTCGTCTCCTCCTGCTGCTGCTACACCTGCTCCTGCCACTTCTCCTACCACTTCTCCTGCCACTTCTGCTACTGCTACCGCTACTGCTGCTGCTGCTCCTGCTGCTGCTCCTGCTCTTGCTCCTCGTCTGCCACTGCGACAGCGACTGCGGCTCCGGCGACTGCGTCTCCTACTCCTACCCCTACTCGTACGCCTACTCTTACTACTATTGCTACGACGACGACGACGACCTACGGCTACGACTTCTACTGCCTTCAGGTAAAGGGCAACTTGTGGGACCATCCGATTTCCCATGCGACACGAGTAGCTCATGTGAGGCATGTGCACAGTTCTGTATGGTCCACTCACGATATAAAACTGAACTGCTGAAATTTCTGTGAAATGAAACGGGAAACTCAACAAGAACAATGCGACAAATCGAGAGACGTAGAAGCCCCATGCCCGTCTGCGTGAGTGTCAAGCACCCGCCACGAGGTCAGGCTCCTCCGAGCCCCTTGCCAGCAGGGGTCGAAATCAGAAATCTCCTTTTCAAAGGGCTCCATTGCACGCGGAGTTGAACCCATGCTGTCGGCTGAACCTATGGTCGCTTACAGTCATGCCCTCTGCGATAAAGACAGGCCACGTACCTTTCAGCCAGAGACAACCCGCCGCTCATCGCCGCTCCCGTACCTTCCAAGGATGGCGGAATTTCTCCACCTCCTGGGAACGAGCGGTGCGCTGCGCTGGGCTCCTGCGCTGAATTCTGTTGTAGGTGTTAGTAATGGTTCGAGGCGGCAGGAGCCTTAAGAGTGACTGCGCTGAAAGCGGTGGCGAGGCGGGGTCTAAATTCGCATACTGAGCTGCAAAGGAACCCGGCTCTGTCCGCGCGCTGGGCAAACGAGTCACACGTTCATCGCTCGAATTCAAATCTTGGAGGATGTGTCGTATTTCAGGTATGATTGTGTGTCCTATACATCATAGACTTGCTGGATGGGCACACCATAACAGGCCTGAGCCATCGCCCAGGACTTTAATTCCAGCTACCTCTTGACCTGCACGGTCCTGGGATCAGGCGGGCGCGCCACGAACAGGCTTCTAACACACACCGAGCATCGCCAAGGAATTCGGAGATTTTACCGCTGAAGTCAGGGCAGAAGCCCAGCTTCCAGGCTCAGGATTTCAGGCTGTCTTGCATCGGTGTTTTGGGATCGGGCACTCCGTGACTCACGAGTACACACGAGGAAGATATGATTCACACTGACATATCTGATCTGTAGGTACCTCTCAGAGATGGCTTCTGTTTCTTTGTTGCTTTCTCCTGCTTTGCGCCGTCTCGACCTCGTGCCGAGAGCTGTCTCGAGGAAGTTCCTGGTCAGCATGTTACACGATTGGAACGACATTGACTTCTCGATGTAGGCTCTCAGAGAAGAGAAAAGCCGAAAAGCTCCGCGGAGGTGGATATAGCATCGTCTACGAAGGACAGCCCGGAACCCAGGACACTCGAAGCTCCGGCACGCTCCCGGGCGAAGCTGCCATTTCCAGGCCGTCGACTCTGAAGCTTTGAGGCTCTGGCGTCTGCACACCCAAGGCCGAGAGACGATGTTCTGCCACTGAGCGAGGCTCTCGAGGCTGGGCCGGGCCGGGGCGGTTGCCGGCGGGGTCACGGGGTGCGGGCGGGGTTTCTTGCGAACAGCAGAGAAGTGAGAGAAGGTCTGCACATATGCTCAGCTGGGCAGGTCTTGGGGGATGCGTGGCTCCGAAGTCCGATCTAAGCACCGCATCTACAGCAACACCCTATCTCACGCCTTCAGGACGAGAACGAGCTGCCAGAAGCCTGGGCTGAGAGACATGGCTGATAAGCGAAAGCAGATCCTTCCAGCTTTCGGGTTGCCAGTTGAGGTGTGTGAGATTTGTTGGGGCTTCGATTTCCGAAGCGGTGGGGGTGGGTTGATGATTTGCTGTCGGCGGTGCCTTGACTCGACTCATCGGCCTTAGTTCATGCAAATGCCTCCCAAGGCGAGACATGCTTGAGGTGGATAAAGAGAGAACTGGCGACAACGAGCGAAGCTTTGCCTCAGGAGTGACCGAGAGCTTCAGGGCAGACCTCGCCGGGTTGCGCCAGGGCCCAGGGCTGTGGGGACGAAACGTCTCCAAAAGAAAAGAAAAAGGCACTTTGCATGGCTAGGCTGAAGCTCTGGAGCTCTCGGGGCTGCGAGGCTGAAGCTCTTGCAGAAGGTGGACAATGCGGAGCAGTCCATCTCGGTCGGGCGACCTAACACGGCCGCCATCGGCCGCCCCTCCGGCGTCTGTTTCTGCTTTGAATAGTCAAATCGCGGAGCAGCAGTGCCTCACAAAATTGAGCACCAGCAGGGTTCCGCGGGTTCCTGACCGCAGGTAGCTAGCAGCGTCGTCGTAGTTCAAGTTTAGCTCAAGCGGAAACACAGTAGACTATGACTGTACCGTCGAGAAACAAGTTCGCGGGGACCTTCGAATGTCCAAACCTCCCGTCATGAGGCGACGTGTCAGAGGCAGAGAGAGGGAAGCTTTATGTTGGATTCAGGCTTTCAAGGTCGGCAAATGGGTCAGATCAGGTCAGCAGGGCCACTGTTTCAACACAATCTCGCGCAACAGTTAATTCTGTAGATTCAATGCCAATACATAGCTTTCATGAGACGATTCCTGCAGGGGTCGGGGAAAGTAAGCAGAGAAGTAATGTTCAAGCTCGTTCTAACAGCGGTCCTGCTGCACGCCGTTGCTGTTCCCGAATCCGTTGTTGCGCACTCGCAAAGCCTGCCTCACCGTGTTGACAAATCTGCAGTGTCTTAGTTGCGAAACCGCGCTGTTTCGTGTCTTGGAGTCTTGAACTTTCCCACTGTGTTCCACGCATCCGGTTGTTGATGATGCCGCGATGCCGTCAGGAGAGCTGACTTGGTTCTTGGACGTGTGAGCATGTGTGAACCATGTGGGTCCGAGGTCGTGAACGAGGTGTACTTCTTGCCGGGCCCTAAGAAGAATGCAGACTTCGAGAGGGAGCCAAAGAGGCCGAATTGCTCCAGCTCGCCCCGGGCCACCTGGCAGGTCCACCTGCGGCCGTCATCCGAACATCAGTTCGATGCTAGGCCTGGGGCTCAGAGACTAAGATCGTGTGTGCGGCTTGCGACGTCTTGCCGCCTGCGGGCGCAGGCAGCGTGCTTGAGACCTGGTAGCCTGGTAGTGTGTTTGCATCCGCCTGAATTGCACCTGCCGCAAGGCACCTACCTCTCGCAGCAGAGGTACAGGCCAGTGCGTGGTGCAGCTTTCCAAACGGTTCATCGAGTTTACGCTCCCATATTCTCGGCCGGCCGAGATTACACTTCAGAAGAATCCTGCAGAGTAGCAGGGTGGAAGGATACAGTTGAGCCCGTCAGGGAGTTGGTAGATGATGGACGTCTTTGGTTCAGGGAGCTCGAGGCTTTGTTGTTCAATCAGCTTAGCCCAGATCTAGCTGTCCTTGCGGCCCGAAACATTGCGGGGCGTGGCGGGCATTGCCCCTATTCGATCATCATCACCATCATCATCATCATCATCAGCATCAGCATCAGCATCATCATCATCAGCAGCATCACCAAATCCATCGCCATCACCATCGCCCTATCCTCCTCCTCCTCCTCATCATCATGACTTGGAGTCTCTCCCGAGAGACTAGATACGTCTGAAAAGCTTCGGAAGCCTGGCTCGCCATTGAAATCTCCGGCCTGGCAGGACCGTGTGGATCATTGCCATGACTTTGTATCCACACGGACGGCTGATGGACTGGGTAGAAATGAAGCTCGGATGCACTGTTCTCATCACACGCATGCCTCAGCGATCCAACAACACGCCACCCACAGCCCTCGAGCCCAAAGCCAAAGCTATGAACGGCTAAGGCACCCTGCTCCAAACAACAGGCGCCCAGTGAAGGAAAGCCTCCTGCGGCGGGCATCGCAGAAACCTGTAGCTTTCAACCCCTTCGCGGCACCTGGGTCGTGAACTCTGAACATTCTTGAATCATAAAACTGTTCAAGCACAGCGGGATCAGCTAAGATCGTTTCTCTTGATTGCAATACCGGGCTCCTCAGGTCATGACGGATTTGCAAATGTATGTGGCCCTCGAGGTTTACCGGCAAGAGCAGTTGATAGTTGAGCAAAGCTTCGAAGTTCCCGAGGAATGGTCCTTTCTTTATGAGCAAGGGCGACATCGTCTCCGTGGCTTGGTCTAGGGCTCCACACCGATAAACTCTCAAGCCGCACCTCGCAAGACTCTTGGGATGCCGCACTGTATCATGACTCTGGACTAAGGCAGCTTGAATGTAGCCTGAGCCATGCATCAATGATGATTCCCAACGTGAGCACTCTATGGTAGAGGATAGAACAAGAGAGCAGCGGTGCAAGCACTCGCAAGGCCCCGCCTTCCACATGCACGTATGTGCAGTATGTTCTTTACTGTTGTCTATGTACATATGTGTTTTCGCCGACAGGTGGGGTAGTTACAGAAAGCACGTTCATTCATTCATTCATTCATTCATTCATTCATGCATGCATGCATGCATGCATGCATGCATGCATTCATGCATGCATTCATTCATGCATTCATTCATTCATTCCATTCCTTCCTTCCTTCCTTCGTTCGTTCATTCATTCATTCATTCATTCACTCACTCATTCATTCATTCATTCATTCATTCATTCATGCATCACCTGGGGTCACGAATGCTGAGTCAGAGCGCGCTGTTGGGACCCAATCACCTTTGCTGTTGCCCATCACGGTCCCTGCCAGGGCAGACTTGCGCAATGTAGAAAGAAACCCAGCAAGTAGGAGAACACGGCGTGAAGTCGGTCGGCAGCAAAACCGGCTGCCTCAGAAGGTTGCCCGCAGATGTACAGACAGAGACAGACAGCAAACAGAGAGCACAAATAGGAGCAACACGAAAAGGTGCAGAATCGGCAGAGTCAAAGAGAGGAAGGCATGCAGACACGGACACACCGACAAACAGGAGCAGACACTGGTAGGTTAGAGGTCACACAACAAAAGCAAGCCACACGAACAGGCAGTCACAAACGACACCTGTAGCAAGGGAACTGCTAAGTACAAAAAAGCACACTGAGAGGGGTCAGAAAATGACTAACGGACAGCTGCCTTGAGACTCAGGTGTGCTTACTGTCCGCAGTGGCATTCTTGCACAGCAAGAATATCATTCACAGGCCCCGCCTGGAACTTTCTGCGGACCCGGAGTTTCAAGGGCACGGGGTTTCCTGCTGTGTCCATTCCTCTCTACACGCGCCTGTAAGCCTAAAAGCATGTTGCCAGTTGTTACTGTACAAGACCGATGCGCTCCCAGCTGTTTGAAGTTCCATCGCTTTGCAAACATATCCTGCACAGGGACATCCGTCCGGAGAAGGTCATGTTGGCAGCAGACTTGTGTCCTGTCCTCATGGACCTAGGCGCGGTCTAACCTTTTGGACTGGGTCTCCAGGCGGCGGGGTCCTTCAAAGCTTTTTTGCCAGTTCGAGGAAGATTCGGAGTTGCAGTGCCCCAAGTCACTTAAAGAAAGGGCTCGACAGCCCTGCCTCTACTTTTGTGGCGCTTTCGGGTCTCAGGGTTTTATGTATCTTCAGGTTTGGTGGGAGTAGGCCTAGGCTTCCCAAGTGGCCTTGAAAGGTTGGCTGCCCGGACCAGTGGTTTTAGAAAGGAAGCCTTTGAGGTGCGGGAGATGCGAAGTGCCCCTCCGTCTTGGCGTCTCTGCCCGAGCTGCCTGACCTGGTGGCTGCCTATAGAACTTTTCCTTTGCTTGGACGATGTTTGAAGCCCCCGAAATGCCACACAAACCTCCAAAAACTGCGGTCACCCGTCACCCCGGCTTGGGGACAATACACTGCAGAAACTAAAGACGTCCGAACATCTTGTAACGACGATAGACACTCTCGTCTGCTGTTGCAGCTCAAGCATGACTTCTTCGAGTCACCGGAACCTCCCTTAGCCAGAGTCGACACGGACCATATCAGACCATAGAACGTAGCTCTGCGAGCCATGCTTGACATGCGTCCTGTCTGGCAAGCGCCTGCCATCGGATCCACGGGGCTTGTGCCTGGCCTTTGTAACTGGTGCAGGGTTGCGCAGCCTAGTTGCGGCTTACGGCTTAGGGGATTGGTCGGATTGGTCGCTCTTGAGTTCAGGCACAGGGCTGCGCAGTGAGCTGAGCCTGCGCACAGACAGCCCATGCAGAAGGGGCCCGGACTCGTCTCCCATGCAAAACAAGAGTGGAAAGCCATAAGAAACAGACAGGAACCGTGGCTGCTTTATCATGCATTCGTCCAGTGTCTCGTCGCGATCGCTGCGCTTATCGTGTCCTGGCTGCAGACATTCCCAGCATCTTCAAACAGGGTCACAACCATCCACAGCGCGCAGGCATGGAACAGGGCTAGGCAGAGTGAGTGACGCTGCAGTCAATTCGATTCAGGCAGGACAGCTTCTTTCGTGAATAGTGTCTACTGTACGTGTTGTGCGGAGGATGTCCAAATGTCGGCATGTCCACTTTCAACAGCCTAACAGGCATCGCGGACCCACACGAATCATTTGATATCTTTTTGAGCTTCCCTGCCTGGGTATGAGTTCTTCGAAGACATGCACTTTACCTTCGCTCGTCGCATCCCATACCACATTGCTCGCTCGGCATCTGATCCGAGGCCGCGAACCCAAGTGGATTGACAGACTCTTTTCAGCTTGCAGGCGCTCTACTCGAACGTGTTTCGGGTTTAGGTGGAAGGGTGGAAGGCCTGCAAGTTGGCGGTTTCAGCGCTTTGCCCAGCATTGGCCTAAGCCCAAGCGCTAAACTTTAAACCCCGAAGCCTGAGAGCATGTTTCCCTGGAAGGCAGCGTGGTCGTTGCTGTCGCTTTTCTCTTGCATCAAGGAGCCCTCTCAGCTCTTCTTCTTCCCAATAGACCTGATAGCAGCCAGCTCATCCGACCGTGTTGGGATTCCCCTTCATTGTCCACCACGTGAAAAACACCCCAAGAGTACACTCAGTGTTTTGCTGTTGCATGCCTGAAGCGGTACCGTAGCTCTGTGTCACACCACCGACCTTTTTGCACCAGTGCGTGCGCGGGGTTTGCCTGTGCTGAGGAAGATGGTATATAGGCGGTAGCCATGTATGCAGACAGTATCAGACGGCCCACTAGGATGGAAGCGGCGGCAAGTTCTTAAGTTGATAAAAACTTGGATGCTTGCACAAATTGACGACTTCGGGCGGCAAGTTTCCAGCGTTTGAGCAGCATTTGTGGATTTGCCTGAAATCCTTGCTAGAGGAAGTAAAAGTCATGCCAGGTCAGCGACACTCCAAACATTCACCACACCGGAGGCCTTGAAACCCAGTGAGCAGTGAACACAAATTCAGACGGTAACAGGAACCGTTGACAACAAGCAAGGCTTTGTCCGACTGCTAAGAGTCATGGCGATGTGAGCCAACATTGGACCCCCCACCAACCCCTGAGGGACCATCGACAAGAAATCCTGGCATCATGGCATGTGCCAAACTTGCACTCGTTGTCACCACGCCGAAACAGTTGCAAAGAAGAAGCTCAAGAGCTTGCCGCACAGCAGCGGGCCACCCACTGGAACCCACTCTCAGGCCCACCGAACCGGCGACACACCTAGAATACCTAAAGACCTAAAGACATCATCGCGGCCTTGCCCATGCAGGACTAGCTGTCTTGCTGGAGAAGCTCGGCATGGTTGGAAGCATAAATACTGGAGTCACAGCATGTGGCCCCAACTTAGAGTCTGCAAGTCCATGGCTCCCTCTCTCAGGTCAACCATTCCCACACCCGAAGACCTGCACTCGAGGCGACACCCGGAGTCCAAGCAGACGACGATTCTCTTCTCCTTCGCGGGTTCGCTCTGGCTCTGGCTGTTGACACTTGTCCAGTAGCTGGGGACTTCAGATTTGGGAGGCTGAAGCGGCTTTCCAGGGCTCCACCTGCGATGGCTCGGCCCTGTCTCCCAACGCAGACACCTAGGTGCCTTCTCTTGTCCATGGCAGCGACTCGCCTTGCTGAAGAAGAGTTTTACGAGGCTTCGGGCGGTTTCCAACCTTCCTTGCCTTGCATAGATCCGAAAGCAATTTCTCTCAGCCGTCGTCTTCCGGATTGGCATCGCAGGAGCCCTTTGCAGCTCTCTGGATTTCTGTTCTGCTCGCAGTCGCAGCTTTCTTCTCGTTTCCTGGCACTGATTCAGCTCTGGTCCGAGTCCAGGGCTTCAGACCGGCTTTCCTGTCTGTGAAGCGGAGGGAGGCTCGGATAGCGTCCTCGTATCGCTTCTGAGGACCGGGACGCCCCCCGAAGCCCCGAAAGGGGGCGACAAGGAACTTCGAGTGTGCAAACTCCAGTTACGCGAGTAGGAGGAGTCTGTATGTATGTTGTGGAGTGGTGGTAATGGCGCATGCATGATTCTATGGCACGCATCTCTTTCCGAAGTCAGCTTCAGACTGCTCTGACCAAGGCATTGAAGCCCGCGGTGAAATCACACATTCTGTGAGGGATAGAGTTATTGAGTGATCTTCACGTGCAGATTCGGAGACCGTTGATAAATTGGCGACCCCTCCAAATCTCGGAACACCTGGATTTGGACCCTGAATGGTGAACCGCGCCGAGTGCAGCAGGGCTCCACGAGGTTGGAAGACACCTGACCCCTCAGCTTCCAAGTATCCTGCTGTGTGCTGTGCCCGCGAAGCCACTGAGGCGACTGCCACCACTGATGTTCGCACTGCTTGGGCAGTGGCTTGGCTGATTCAGGCATGAAGGTAGGTTGTCTCAATCCACTGATCCCGGACAGAGAAAGTTTTAGTTCAGAAACTTTACGAATACATGAGCACAGGTTAGGCTTGCCCTCTCTTGCTTTTGTCCTGCTCTGTCTCTCTCCCTCTGTCTCCCTCTTTGTCCCTCTTTCTCCCTCTCTCTCTCTGTCTCCCTCTCCCTCTCCCCCTCCCGCTCCCCCTCTCCGTGTGCCTGTGCTCTTCATTTTGTGGCTGACGGTCTCCGGGAAGCATTGCAGCCGATTTCCGGACTGTTTGGTGTTCCCAATCAGGATTGCCGCGCTGCAGCACCTCGCACTGGGCCTATGGCTGCCATGCCGGGTTCTCGGATGTTTCGCTTTGCCGCAAGCTCAGGCTTGACTGCGGCCTCGTGGGCTCGTGCTTTATCGGATAGGAGAGTTGTATACCTACTTGGGATGGTGGAATGCCGGAGCGTGCAAGACAGCGAAGGGACCTACGAAGTTGTTGCAGTGATGCAGATTGCAGAATCTGTAAAAATCGACAGGCGAGACCTGCGGGAGCTGGCGTTTGCAAGCGCGAGGGCCTGGAGGTGCCCAGAGGATTTAGGAGTTTGGTCGAAAATTTAGATGGACCGGGTCGTGTAAGTGACGTGTCGGCGTCTCATCCCTCGTTGCGAACGCCTAGCGTGTTCTGCACACTGCTGCATAGAGCGGTCGGAAGGCTTGCTTTTGGGCCTGAATGGGCCATGGCTTCCCGGACTGCTGCTGGCGCGGCTTGGGCGAGAAAGCCTGGACGTACATAAAAGCACAGGGATGAGACCGACTGTGCCTACCTCCCGTAGCTCGCTAGCTACCTGCCTACCTGCCGACCTACCCGAATACCTACCCTCCCTTCCTAGCCACTCGTAGATGCAAAGGACGTCATAATTGTTCTGTACCAATTATGTCCTTCTTGATGCACATGTCCGATCTGCGACGTACGGGATGTGCTGCCATCTTGTTGTAGAAGATTGTGTCTAGCGAGTCTAGCGTATTTTGCTTGCCTATTCGTTTACGTTGAGATTTTCAGATCTGCTGCATTTTTGCCGTGACTTATCCAGTGCCAGAGTACGGCCTGCTAGACTCGGCTGTGAGGGAACTTACTTGCAGTTGAAGGACCAAGACTTCGGACACCGCTCTTGCACATAGAAGTCTGATGAACAGAACAAAGGCTGAGTTTCATCGTTTGGGTCCTTACGGTCATGCTTGTTGTCATGTATCTGAATACGAGGCTGCTGAACGCCGCACTGAGTGCACTGCAGTGGAGGTGCCCTTCACTCTGTGGTCGTAGACTGTGCAGTGTACGAGCATGGTGGTCTTCCCGCATTAGCAATCCCAGTCCGATCGAGATTCCGGAGTCAGTTTACGGATGAGCATTGCTGCGAGAACCGCTTTAAATCTCGCAGCTGACCGGGCTGGGGTCAGAGGCGCCACAGCGAGCTTTGCACGTATGCTGCCATTGTGAAGCTGCAGAGTCTCCAGGAGCGAGGCTGTGTGACTTGGGACTTTGCAGCGCTGTCGCAAGTGAATGGGGTTCTTGGCAGTTCTCGGGTTCTCGCAGGTCCTGGCCACGTTCTGGTGGAAGCGTTTGAATGCGTCCGCTTGCTTGAAGCGAAAAGTCAGAGAAGCAGGGGTTGGGCTCCGCAGAGAAAGCGTGTGCAGAAAGCACGACAAGGTTCTCCCCAGCTGCAGTGAGATCAAGGATGCTTCGGTGTTTGGGCTGCCGTGTTTAGTAATTGAGCTCTTGGCTGAGAGGATTCGATGCCATCTCTTCGTGTGGCTACAAGCGCAGACCAGGCCAAGCCATGTCAGAAGAGCTGGATCCTCATTCATGAACCATGCAAACAACGGCGGCCGGAAGTGTACGAAACCCTCAAATCTATTGCCCGCTTGAGAGGCAGTCGCCTATTCGGAGGCACAGAGGCCGCTACGGGTTGAAGTTTCGGGAAGCCGATTTTCCAACCTTGGGTTTGTGTTCACCCTAAGGCTTCTTACTCAGCTCTTAGTAGCTGAGAGGCTTTTCAGACTCAAACACTGAGCGCTCTTTGGCCTTTCGGAGGGTTGTGTTGGCTCGCAGTCTAGGAATTTTCCCACAGACTATTCTTCTTAAACTTCCCAGATCATCAGATCCGTTGAGCCACGTAGGGTATGTCTTTTTAGGTCCTCAGAAATATTCGTGAGGGTGTCTCTTTGGAATGCTTTGTAGGATACCTTGCTTGATGCATGAGGTCAGTAGGCTTCTCGAGATCAGACTCTCTGAACCCTGAACCCCGAGCCCGAAGCCGTAAGCCCCAGAAGGCCCGCCGTAACCCTCAACAACACAAGACGCCCTCAGATCCGTGGGAGTCTTAGAAAGCCAACCCCCCAAACATGTGTGTGTGTGTGTGTGTGCGTATCTCTAGACTCTCATGAAACCTTGTAACACCACAAAACAAGGAGCTGTTCCCTCCCCTCTGATTGGAGGCGGCTTTTTGAGCGGGCCTTTGAAGCTTTGGAGCGCTCTCCCTGGGCCTCGGCCCAGGCGGGGGTCTGTTGGCGGGGAAGCTTTCCAGGACCCTCAGAAAACCCCTTAGGGATGTTTAAAGGGTTTTGCGTTCTGCAGGAGCTGCTGGGTCCAGGAGTCTAGGCTTGAGACCTCGGGCCTTCTTGAAGTGGATCCGTCCAAGGCGTGTGCAAGGCTGCAAGGTCACGACAAAGCTGAAGCTCTGCGGTGCAGGCAGCACTGCTTGCCGAACCACTGCTGCATGCCGCTTGAGATGAAATTGGATCAGGTACCGGACTGCTTGTGCGTAGGATTAGGCTGGTTCAGGTATGCGTTGAAGGACTCAGTTTTGTCTGTTTGAGCATGCCTCTGGCTTTAAAACTTCTGCAGACCGGTGTGCGCAGCACGGTCTGTGAGGGCATAGGCGGTCGAATCATCTCTGGAAGCACGGCCGCCGCAGTATCGTCCTCGCAGCAACCACAAGCTGACACTCCCGCTTCCAGTCTTTGAGGCCGTTTCCATCTGCGCCCATCAGCTCCAGTCGCAGACTGCGCAGCAGCGAGAGCTGCAGGAGAACTGGGGCTTGAAGTTGAAGTATTAACAGCCTCCGAAAGGGAAGCCTTCCTGGCCTTGAGGAAACTTCGGAGATCCGGGACCAGAACGTCGCCGGTTGGATCGGCAGCATCGGCCGGTCCGGGACCTCCGGGAGCATGCGCCTCCGCTTCCCTTACGAACGTACGCGCTTCCCATCCAACTTCAATCCCGATCATGCTTTTTCGTACCTGACCGGCGTGTCCCAGATTGGAGTATGGACTGCTGGAGAAGTCCCAGTCCAGGGAGGCGCGGCAATAGAAGCAGTTGGCGTTGGAGTTTCAGGGCTGCGTGGGGGTGTCTGCTGTGGATGTGGAGTGTGTTGAACTTGCTCTGTCTTCGTGTCTGCGGAAACCTGGGAACTGGCTGCAAAGCGCCACTAGCACAAGAGTGCAGATCATGGCAGTGCCTGGCGTTAGTGCAGCGTTTGTGCAGCGTTGCGTTGCGAGGCGGACGCAGAGCTCGTGGAGCTGGGCCCGGAACCTGAGTTGAATCGAATACAGGCGCCGGTTGTTGGGCCCTTCGCTGGTTCTTGTGGATTCAACCGATGCAGGCCTCGAACCCTCGTGTCTCCGGCATCGGATTTGATGATGGTCATGTTACTCACACTTGCAGTGGTGACGTGGTCAAGCTGCATGATGTTGATCGTGATGGTGCTGGCAGCGCTGATAATGCTCCGGCACCAGCGGCATTATCATGAGCTCTTTGTAAGTATCGCCTTCCTTGTCTCTAGGGACTAGCAGCGATGTGCTTGCACGTATCCTGAAGCTTCTGAAGTCATAAGCCCCCGATCGCAGGGAGACGAGAGCTTCCATCTGGAACCAGGAGAGAGTTCGCTGTACATCCAGAGGCTTACTCCAGCCCCCTGGTCGCGGCGCGGTCAACCTCATTGCTTGCCCGAAAGCCCTGGGACCCCAAGCTCTTTCACTCTCCCTGTCGCTGGAAGCCTTTGAGTCGACAGCATCCTGAGCAGCACTTAAAGCTTCACTCCTTTGTGATGTTTCGCAAGTGAAAGTCTTTGAGACAGGACGCAGCAATGTATTGCCTGAAACGGCGGTTGAAGCCAGCCCCAAGTCCCTGATAGCTCCGAGGCTGTTGTCAAGCAGCTCAAGGCTTCTTGGGATGCCTGCATCTGGGTTCCTTTCCGAAAGGTTTTCGCCACGATCCCAACCTCCAAAGAGAAATCGCAGACAAGGTCATAATTACTGATCAAGCAAGCAGGCCCGTACGTGCCATCGGTGGTGACAAGGAACCCTTTCTGCACCCGACAAGAATGGAACGATCCTCTGCACGGGTGGCAAGAGACACATCCCAAGCACCACGAGCTGATCCGGCTTTCACCTGCAAAGTGCCCGAAGGTGGGAATGTGGTCCTTCGATGCCAATGAAGTTGTTCCTCGGAGCAAGATCTGGGCCATCGGAGACGGAAGACTTCTGCGAACAAAAGCATTCGGCAGTCTCCGAGTCAAGAGCGAATTGATTCGTATCCTTTGGGCAATACCTCGACCTCCCCTCATACTCATTTGCTGTCCCTGGGAAAGTAAAGAGTGGCGCGTACCTGCAAATGACGCAAGTCACCAGGAAAGGTGGGCCCCGTCCTTCGGCACCATCCCCAGTACTGCTGATGCTCTCAAGGTCCGCGAGCATGGCTCCGTGCTCAAGATCGTCGGCACGGAGTTGATCGGGAAGGTCACCAGCTGGAGCTTATGACATAGCTGGAATGCTCATATGAAGTCTGTCCAATCGTACTCAGCCATGCTTCGGTATCTGCCAGGGTCCCGGCAGGCTGCGAGCGAAGCATTTCAGCCTTGCAGATGTATTTCACGGCAGAGACAAGCTAAGAGAGCGACATGCACGTTTCCGGGGAAAGCTGTGCAGACGTAAGCCAGCAAGCGAATACGCATGCATGCGTGCATGAAGGAGTTGTATATGCACACGTATGCAAGTACAAAAGATCTCGGGTGCGTATGTGTGTATAAGTGTACGTGCTCTCGTGCGTGCGTGCGTGCGTGCGTGCGTGCGTGCGTGCGTGCGCGGGCGTGTGCGTGTGCGTGTGCGTGTGCGTGTGCGTGTGCGTGTGCGTGTGCGTGTGCGTGTGCGTGTGCGTGTGCGTGTGTGTGTGTGTGTGCGCGAGTGTGTGTGTGTGTGTGTGTGCTGTGTCGTTTTCATGAGCTTGTTTGAGCAGGCCAATGAGCCGCAAACAGGTAAACTATCCATCCCATCCCGTCCGTGCGTCTGTCCGTCTATCCGTTTGTCCATCCATCCATCCACCCATCCATCCATTTTTGATGTAGCTATCCGTACCAGGCTGACCCATGCAATCCCCATCCCGCCATCCATCTACCTACTAGCTTTTCAGGACCAGTCTACCTACCCACCAATCTATCAGTACGGTGTCTATGACTCATGCCACCTTCGTTCTTAACCGTCCGTTGCATGCATGCTTTAGTCCTTTTGTTCCTCCTTCTCACTTGACAACTCCACCAACTAGAACACTAAGGAACTAACCGTCTATTCCCTGGTCTGGTGGTTTAACTCAAAAGACGAGGGTGTGGAGAGAATCCTAAAGGTAACAAAGAATCCTGGTAATCGAGGGAGATGTCGTAAGTTGTCTTTATGAGATTGGTGTTCCTGTGGTGTGTTCCCATGCCACACGAGTACAAGACTCGAGTCACACCTTTCTCAGTTTGATCGCGATCGTGGACACCAGGCACAGTCATTGAAGGGTCTGGTTTCGCAGATTTCAGAGGTTTGGCAGGCAGGTTTCAAGCAGCTTTGCTCAGCTCAGGTTTCTTTCATCTCGAGGCCACCCGTGCCAGAGCTCGTTTGATTTGCAGATGCATCGGTAAAAGAATGTACAAAGCTTCGGTTCGTTCTTCCGGGGGTGTGGCTGGTCCAGGCCAGTGCTTAGAGACATTGTGGGCTGAATAGGCGCTTGCCGTACCGGACCCATGAAACCAAGACGGGAATTGCTGAGAAGACCCTCTGAGCTGCCTGCCATGCAAAGCCGAGAGCAATCACCTCGTCAGGAGTTGCCTGGGAGCTTTTCTGGATGCGATGGAAAAGAGGCTTGGAGGGCCCACGATCATGTCTTCGGAGGGGCAGCGTAGTCGTCGTCGTCGTAGTAGTAGTAGTAGCAGCAGCAATAGCAGTAGCAGCAATAGCAGTAACAGTAGTAGTAGTAGTAGTAGTAGTAGTAGTAGTAGTAGTAGTAGTAGTAGCAGCAGCAGGAGCAGCAGGAGCAGCAGGAGCAGCAGGAGCAGCAGGAGCAGGAGGAGCAGCAGGAGCAGGAGGAGCAGGAGGAGCAGGAGGAGCAGGAGGAGCAGGAGGAGCAGGAGAAGGAGCAGTAGCAGCAGCAGTAGGAGCAGGAGGAGTTGTAGTAGAAGACGTAGTAGTAGAAGAAGCACCCCCCTACTACACTTCACTTGCTCTGAACCCTCTTAAGAGCACTTTCATTTTTCTCGGTATTACCTATACTTTCGTCATGTCCTACCACCTCTTTTTGCCTCAAAATCCACCTGCCGACTTTGCAAACTCGAGCTTCGGTTTTCCGAAGGGTTTGGGGGTGGGTTCGGGGCTGTGGGGCGGCAGGGGGTGGTGACGGCACTGCAGCACACACATGCGTGTTGCTCATTCTTTACGGTGGTTTCGTAATGTCATACCACTTCTGCTTGCCTCAACATCCACTTGTCGTCTTTGCTAACTCGAGCTTCCAGAACACCGGTTTGACCAGCGTAGTCGGGAGGGGGGTGGCTAGTATTAGTAATCGTAGTAGCAGTAATAGTAGTAGTGGTAGTAGTAGTGGTAGTAGTAGTAGTAGCAGTCGTCGTCGTCGTCGTGGCAGTGGCAGTAGCAGTGGCCGTGGCCACGGCCACGGTGGCGGTGGCGGTAGCAGCAGCAGCAGCAGTCCTTGTGGTGGTTGTGGTGGTTGTGGTGGTGGTGGTGACGTCGTTGAGGGATCAGCTGCATGTATAATCAATCACCGTTCACGGTAACGTTTGACATCCGGCACCTGACCGAGCATCCAGATCCCAGTCGCTGCAAGCCCCATCCAGGTACTTAGCCAATCCCTACCACTCGAGCGCTCACGCGGCTGACGCAGCGAACTCCTTCGAGGTGGGGGTGGTGGACTCTTTTTGACGGAGCATGGCAGCAGCTGCCGACCTGCACCTGCAAAATCGCACTTTCGGAAGCACGAAAGGCCATCTGCTCAACAGGTCCTTGCTTCGAGCTCCGGGCTGCTTCAGTCCTCAGAGCTCCCAGCGCTCCGGAGTGCCACCCGAAGAGAAGATAAGGATTTTCTTCTAAGGGTTCCGCTTTCTGTAGGTTTAGGGGTTAAGCGGGCAAGCTCTTTTGCGGCATGGTTGGCATGAGGTTCAACCATTTTACGTTTGCTTTGCGAGGTTGTTGCTGATCTGCTGCGAAGTTTTTCGGAACCTTGTTCCCCTCCTTATCCGCTGCTGCAGCTTGTGCAGCCACAGGTCTCTATGTGTGTCGCCGCGCTGGGTCATGACTTGGGACATCCAGGTGCCAGAGGGCTTCGATGGGGATGGGGCGGGCTTGTGCAGAGAAGCGCACGTGAGCTTTGAGCATCGCAGATGCTGCATGCAAGGGTTTACACTAGGCCCTAGGCGCTTGACACTGGGCGCTCGAGAAGCCCAAACCGAAAAGGTGCGGCGTGGATCTGGAAGAGTGAAGCAGAGAGCCTACATGACTCCGTGAAGGGCCCTCCATCCGCTGTGGCAGCTGCAGCCCCGCAGGTCTCAACAACAGCTTCCAGATCAACTCTCGGGACAACCTTGTAGCCCGGTGCACAAATGTGAATATGGAAGTTTCGGAAAGCAAGGGGTCCGTCCCAGCCATAATGGAATCCTGAGAAGGATCTTCATTGCAGGGTTTCTCAATACGGTGCTTCTATTTTCCAAGAAGCTCTCATATAGAGCCTGGACATAGGCACGATGAGTTGAGGGTGCTTCGTGGAGAGGGCTCTGCACTACTCTGCACTGTGCCAGTTGATGCTGCCGCGGATCAACCAGCACAGGACAAGCACAGTAAGGACGAGAGTATGAATCACATGCAGACTGTTAAGCATATTATTCCTGTGCCAGCGGTGATGTTCTCAGGAGTGTCCGGTGTTGCTTCGGAAGTTGGTCGCCTGTCGCATGCTTGATACTGTGGAGAGTTGAGAGAAATGTGATAGAGCCTCATTCACTCTTCACGCTCTTGTGAGGTGTCCCTGGGTGTTCGGAATGCCACATACTTGATCGGCTGAATGGCATGGACTGTTTACAGTAACCAAATTACACACACACACACACACACACACACACACACACACACACACACACACACACACACACACACACACACACACACACACACACACACACACACACACACACACACACACACACACACACACACACACACACACCACACACACACACACACACACACACACACACACACACACACACACACACACACACACACACACACACACACACACACACACACACACACACACACACACACACACACACACACACACACACACACACACACACACACCCACACACACACACACACACACCCACACACACACACACACACACACACACACACACACACACACACACACACACACACACACACACACACACACACACACACACACACACACACACCAGCACGACTAGCAAAGCCAGGGGTAGTGCATCTCAGAGTCCTGCCAGGCACTTCTATGTCAGTCGGTTGCATGTTAGCTACAATGGAATGCAAGTGAGAAGCGAGCCCAGAGCTCTGAGCTGATAGATATCCAAGCTCTTGTCGCGACCTATTTTCGGAACAATCTCCAGAAACATTGCTTCCCGGAATCATTTATGGGGTTGGAAGTGCTGATGAATGTGTCACGCAGAGGTTCGCAATAGCATGAGTACCATATGAACATGTGTATTTCCTGTTGTGCATACGCACGTTCCACGGTGAACATGTTCCGGGAGCTCGAACATCAGCAAAACTCAGACGGATTCAAAATCACACACTCCGGACCATCGGAGGCGGTGACCTACAACGACCGTTCTGTACTGGAGAACTTCCATGCAGCTGAGCTTGCATCTTTCCCCGCACAGCAGACAGGTTTTTCACTTTGATCCTAATGTGAACAGGGGCTGCAAGACTTTGGCGAACTGAGTACCTTCGTCAGGTTTGGGTGTCTGACAGGCTCCGTCGTTGCAGGCAGCGTTTTGAACACCCTCTGGGCATTGAAATGGAGATTAATTCGGAGTCTTATGGAGTTTCGCCCCTACGCGGCTAGTTCAGGATCGTACTCAGCAGCAGATGACGCAACCATGAAGGCATCCAAAGACTCCGATTGAACTATGGAACTGACACAAAGAGCAAAAAAATTGAAGAAGATGCACCTCCGTTTTTGCAATAGAGACGAAATTATTCAAACCCAGGTTCAAACCTGGCTTCGAAACGCAGGTTCGAACCCAGGTTTGAACCTATCAATGTGTGTGATGAGCCCCTGAAGCTGGTTCGAGAGACATCCCCGCCCCCCTCCCCGCCACCCTTTATAGCGCTGCTCACCGGCAAGCCCAGACCAGGAGCGGTTGCTTTCGCATCGGTACGGCCCGCGCCAGACAAAGCTTCCGGGACAAGTTGGGATTCGTGGGCTTCGGGATGCGAGATGTGCACGAATAGGCATGACTACTACGTTGAAACGTGGTAAGCCTTTTGCAACTGCAATCAAAGATCCAGGCAGATGATGCTTGTAGAATCATGGAGGATGTGTGAGGGAGGATATGTGTCAGAGGTTAGTTGCAATCTGGAAGAAGCCCAGCTGCGTTCTCATCTAATTGCATCGCTTTTTGTTGTAACGACTTGGATCAGGCTGTTACGAGGCCCTTAATCGCATAGTTTTTGTGTCAACCCGCAGTTCATGCGTTCACTCGGAGTAGCAGCTAGGCCGCCGTTGTGCGGAAGTTTTATGGCAATCGAGGAGAAGAATTAGTGTCTGGTATCCTGCTTAATTACGGCTTGGAGGTACAGTTCAGGCCGCATTGCAGCATACTTCGTGTCAAAAGCTCCTCCCCGAACAGGGCAGATGGACCAAGATCTGTGGACCCGTTCCGAAGACGCTACACCGTTCTGAGGCTTATGGCCATCCCACAGAACCACGAAGCGAGGGAGCGCCAGGCAGGAACCGGGGACCCTTGGGCTCAAAGCTCCCCCGATGTCACACTTTTCTTGGCATGCTCCTCGCATCCCAACAAGCCGCTAATTGACTTGGTTGGCAGCGCTTTCCCCTTCATGGCCACAAGGGATCTTCTGAAGTCGATCGCTGCAGAGCCGGTACATTTATGTCGACTTTGCTTGCCGACGAAATGATTCCTGTAGTGGACGCTTCAGTAGCAATACCGCCGCAGCTGCATACTGCATACTGCATCTCACTCTGTTTGCCCGACTACCTTCCAAAAGCGATAAGTGAGGATTTGTCCTTCTGTGCCCATATGGCCCAGCGCAACAGCCAGCGGCCTGCAAAGCAGAAGAAGGACGCCAAGAAGACTTGCAAAGGCAAGAAGACCCCTGCAAAGAGGAAACAAGGCAATCAGAAGACTTGCAATCGCAAGCAGGCCCCAGGGAAGAACAAGGAGCAGGACAACAAGAGCGACAGCAAGAAGAAGGTGAAGAGTTCTGGCAGTAGCCAGCAAAAGTGCAAGCGCCCAGATGCTACGAGAGCGAAGCCGGGTCATGCAACTAGGCAGCCCAAGCAAACCAAGCCTGCGAAGCTTTCCGAACCCAGGAAGCACTCAGCACCAGAAGCTCGTTGCATGGATCGCCAAGCAAAGCTTCGCAAGATGGCCCAGCCCAGAGACGAGAGCAGAAGCTCACCCACAAGCCAGCAAGGGAATCCCTGTCATGTGAGCCCGCGGCTTGAATACAGCGATGGCCAGTACATTGCTTCTTCATGTGCAATCGACCAGCCTCCCAAGTGCGCCAACTGCGGGTGCAGGATCTTGTCCAAACTTCGCTTGGCAACTGCTGCTGATACTACACGCTTCTTTCATCCAGCCTGCTTCTTGGAAATGCACCCCACAGCACAAGCAACGCCGGCTGGTATCTTGGCCAACTTTGCACTGTTGAGGCCGAGCTGCCAGGAGGAAGTACATGCAATCATGGGGGCAACCCTGACAACAGAAAAAGAGGCGCGGAGGTTGACACATGATGTGACGGAGGATTATGCAGACTTGCAACATTGCCAGAACGAGCAACTGGCAGACTACGAGGATGTCTTAGACTGCGTTCGACGCCCTTTGGCAGCAGCGCAAATTGAGCGAGCAATCGGTGAAAACCAGCCAAGTTGCTTGCAAAGTGCTCTGCGGCTTGGTGAGAAAGCGGGTTTAGATCCAAACGTATCAGTGGTGACTACGGCAAAGCATTTGCTTCACTGCCACGTTTCGCTGCAGACAGCCTTGAGGAGTGGTGAGCTCCCGAAGTTGAAGGAGGCCACTGCGCAAGCGGAAGAGGCCGAGTTCGCTGCAGCATTGCTGAAGCTTCCGAAGTTGGTTCTGGGCGAACTGGAGCTCAAAGCTCAGGCTTGGAAGGACATGCAGGAAGCACGACGTGGCCGCAATCCCGACCAAATGTTGCGAGCAGCCAAGCTCGCAGACACGTGCATCTTCCGCGATTCCAAAATGGAGAACCTGAAGTCAGAGCTTGAGAGGGATGCCCATGCGAAAATAGCCGCCAAAGCGCGGCAACAGCAACTTCAAGCTCGAGAAGAGCTTTGGGAGTGCATCGAGGTCGCAGGAGCCGACGAGTTACAGCTGGCGCTGGGCAAAGCGGTCAAGTATGGGGTTCACGAAAGTTACATTGCCGAAGGCAGGCGCGTGCTGGCCGAGCGAGTGGAAGGCGACCGAGTTCGCGAAGAGATCAGAAGCTTGTTGGACGAACTCGTGCAAGGCGTGCGCCTGCGAGACACTTTGCGATGCCGTGCGCACAAGCTGCGCAAGTTGATACCGCGAAGCGAAGCCGCTGGCTTGCCGCCGTTGGAGACGCATGATGCGCGGCAGACGCCGAGCACGCTGGAAGCGGCACAAGTCGTGGAGCATGTAATGTGGCGGTCGGTTTAATAGTGGGGTACCCCCCCCCCGACCAAAAAGTTTTGGTCTCTTTAATTTGGAACCGGTAACCCCGGACACTGAGTGGCAGGGAATTGGGAGGTGCCGGGGTTTGGGGGGTTGGCTTGGGTGCAGGGTCTGCGGTTCTGCGCGAATGCGCGGTCGGGGGTCGGGGGGGTCTGGGGATCACCAAATGCTGGAAACCAAGCCCCGATCACTCCAAGACTACCACCAAGACTAAAAACCCATCAAAAAGAACACTTTTGCCTCCGTAACCTACACTCACACACTCCCACCCACAATCGACCACGTCTGAAGCTTTGTGCGGTACAATAATAGTACAGTAGTACAATAGTAGTACAGTAGAAATAAAACAGTGGTAGTACAATAGTAATACAATAATAGTGCAGTAGTACAATAGTAATACAACAGTAGTACAGAGGTAGCACAATAGTAGTACAGTAGTAGTACAATAGTAGTAGAGTAGTACAATAGTAGCACAATAGTAGTACAGTAGTAGTACAGTAGTAGTACGATAATAGTACAGTAATACAATAGTAGTACAGTAGTAGTACAGTAGTAGTACAATAATAGTGCAGTAGTACAATAGTAACACAACAGTAGTACAGTAATAGTACAGTAGTACAATAGAAGCACAATAGTAGTACAGTAGTAGTACAGTAGTAGTACGATTATAGTACCGTAGTACAATAGTAGTACAGTAGTAGTACACTAGTAGTGCAGTAGTACAATAGTAATACACAAGTAGTACAGTGGTAGTACAATAGTAGTACAGTAGTAATACGGTAGTAGTACAGTAGTACAATAGTAGTACAGTAACAGTACAGTGGTAGTACAATAGTAGTACAGTAGTACACTAGTAGTACAGTGGTAGTACAACAGTAGTACAGGAGTACAGTAGTAATACAGTAATAGTACAGAAATAATACCAATAAGCAAAGCATAAAGCCAGTGAGCACATTCCCCCAATAAGCAAAGCATAAAGCCAGCGCCTGAACCCTAAACCCTGGACCCTAAACCCTAACAAACCCTAAACCCTAACGAACCCTAAACTCCTAAACCCTAACAAACCCTAAACCCTAAGCCCTAAACCCTTCCCAAAGGGGGGTCGGTCCAGATTGGACCCAAAATTGAATTTTTTATACAAACTTTAGTACTGGAGAGGCCTCTTTTGAGCTAGGGTCCAATCCCCGATTCGGCGGTTCACCCTAGCAGCCCCCCAATAAGCAAGGCATACAGTAGCAGTACAATAGTACAATAGTAGTACAGTAGTAGTACAGAGTCCCATTCCTGACGCCCCAATAAGCGAAACAATTCTGCAAGAGATTTTAGGTCTTCAGGGCCAGGGTTTTAGGGTTGGGTGGGGGTTTGGGTGGGGTTTAGGTCGTGGCTGCCTTAAGATTGACCATCAGCAAATAGCACAGCCCCGCCACCAAAAAATCACCCCAGCCAAAAAAAAACGCATTAATTAGACCGCCCAAATTTTTGGTACCGGTCGGAATCGAGCTTGCGACAGCAGCTGGATTTAGCAGAGCCTGAAAACGTTCTTTCCCTCCTGGTGGAGACGTACATCGTCACAGGTGCGTGAAACAGTGCTGTGTTGTGCCGGAAGATCCCAGCCCAAACCCTTTGTTTCGAACGCTCGAGCAGTCGGGTGCATTGGGGGTTTCGGAACAGTTATAAGAATAGTTCTTCAACGCCCCAAAACCTCGAGAATTTCAAAGGCCTCCTGCATGGCCGCCTCCCTCAGTAGGAGTCCGGCAGGTGCGCATCGCCCTCATCCTCTCGACCGACCTCTCCAAGCACATGCAGGCGCAGTGTGAAGGCTTCAGGTGGGTTTTCGTCAGGCCCCCCTCCTGCCTGTCCCACACCAGGATCTCGGAGATCTTCGGCTACGGCTCGGCAATGGAGATTTCGTCACGCGGCATCGACAAGGGACAAGGGGGCCGAGAGTTTCGGATTGAGGATGGCTGCCGCTCAGAGTTCGCCTTTCATAGGCCCAAGCGGTCAAGTGCTAATCGGTTTCCTCGGTCCGATCCACTCGACACACACCTCAGGACCCCAGCGAAATGGCTTCAGACCAGCAATTGGCGCTGACGCAGGGTGGCACGTGTTTTGTTTCAGGTGGTCGCCTTTTGGGTTGTGTTTCCAGCAAGACCTGACTCGCGATACAGACTTCGCATGACTTCGCCGTGCCCAAGCCCCCAATCCATCGCCTCTATGTGCTTCAGCCAAGGACGTGGTACTTTCGGGCATCGGACATTGGACATTCCGCGAAACCGTGGGAAATTCACAGGCGGGATTGCAAAACGCCTGAGAATGCCGGACTCTCTGCAAAAACGCCTTTTGGCCCGATTGGGCAGTGCGCAGTGCAGTCCCTGCGTTCCTCTCGTCGAGGCGCTGGTCCGAACGCTTGGTGGAGGACTCCGAAACTAGCGATCCCTGGAAGCCTTCCATTTGCAACGGCACTATCACTAAACACGAGAGGCTCTTCAATACATCTATGCCGATGCCAGTCTATGCTTTGTGCCCAAGGTCCACGGTTGTCTTGCTGTCGGATTTGACTAGGTTGGGGTGATAATGCACTGCTTACCCAGTTTGGACTATGGAGCCTGTCCATACTCAAGCCTTTGACTATGGGATGGCTGTGCCGTCGGAAGACTTGGTGATAACTGTGGAGTCTCCCTGCTTCCTCGATAAAGTGAGGAACGTGCAAAGATCGGTGAGATCTGTGCAAATACGATTTCAGTCACGTGCAGTGTTTCGGCTGGTGCGATGCCAGCGTGTGCAGAAAAATGTTCCACTTCAACGAACTGTCATAGTTAGCGCGTCGTCGAATAGGGTCGGTTGCTACTTAAGAAGCTTATGCCTGGAATGAAGTTCCGTGAAGTCGAAGATACGAGCGTCTCAGAACGCTCTGACAGTCTGCTTTGCAAGAAACCTCTTTTCCACCTCCTGGGCCAGGTCTTCGGACTTGTTTTGCTCCTGTGCGCGCGATCAATCATGTCCACTCCAGGAGTTCCATGCCCAGGGCGACGTCGAAAGAGGACGCTAGGTTCAAACACACAATTTCGGGAAGCCAAGTGCTGGCACGGTGACGTGCATTCGCCAAGCGTACATGCGAGGGGCTTTCGTGGGGCTCAGCTTCGCCCAAATCGACCCAGGACTCGGTCTGCCGCTGTCCCCGCTCTGCGCCTTGGCACGGGCAGCAGTAGAACCATTACTTGAGGACACTTCGGGAGGAAGGCTTGACTTTGGGAAGGCCGGACCTCGGATCGTTGGATTGTCTGGGTTTCGTGTTGATTCTTCCTCGGGACTTTGCTCAGGGTTCAGTGCTGTTGACAGCTCGAGTTCCTGGTGCGGGTACAGGTAGGTGGGTCTACGGCTGGGCGGCCAGCTTGAACACTCCTGAGTCGCCTTTCCGACAATCGCTTTGCACCTGCCCGTGTGGACGGAAGCTGCGAGCTGCGAACAAAGACGAGCCTGCAACCGCTTGAGGCGACAGGAACAACTTCGATCTGTCCAAGTCACAAACGGGCTTTCTGCAGTTTATTTGCTTGCCGATGTATGAAGATTCTCGGCTGCACTCAGACACCCTTACTTCACACTCTCCAGTTGGATATCGGAGCGCGAGCTGCTAGCATCCCACCGACTTTGCTACGGCCCAGCCGCAGTGACTTCGGCCCAGCAGCCCAAGGTCATTTGGGGCTGTGAGCCGGTAGCACGGAACTTGCCTGTGCAGGCATGCTTTGTATCGGCTGCCACGCCGGCCAGCAGCCTGGGCTTTGGTAAAGGAACGGTATGTTTAGGTACCATGATAGGAATCCGATGGTAAATGCATATCCCCTTTTTGCGATGGTAACGTAAAACCACCGGCTTGAACGGAAACGGTTAGCAGGTCAAAGACAGCTTAGGATTCTTTCACACCCTCCTCAACTCCTAAGAAACTGGGAACTCCTTAACCCTGAATTCCAAAGACGAAACCCAAAACCCCCAAATTCAGGGGGCTTCAAATGGTGTCGCAGAGTGCTAGCAGCAACGGCTGCAGGAACTTGTGAGGCTGGACGAGCTCCTTGAAAGCAGCCTTCAGCTCAAACAGAGGCGAAAGTCGCTGGAGTTCTTTCAGGGTTCCCCTCCCGCTTTGTTAGGGCATGCTCGGGCTTGGGAAAGCAGGGCTCAGGACATGACCTTTCAGGGCAACTCCACATGGCTACCCATTGCCCGAGGGCCCCAAGCCCGCACACTTCTTTGCGTTCTTTTCATTTAACACAGCACGAGGTCTAACTTGTGCAAACCGACGCTTACGCAGCTGTCAATCCTAGCCAACCCGATCTCCAACAAACATCCTGCCTGCACGCACTCAACAGGCAGCTTTCAAACCAAGAAGAAGACTCTGCAACAGGAAGAAGCCGGCCACGTCCGTCTCGTTGCACGTTTCGCGCCATGGCCATGGGTTGCACCCTGGCAGCATCTGCAGCTCACAGATGCTGCATTCTCCCAGGGCGCAACTGTCCGGCTGAGGAAAGTCCTGCCTTTAGACGACATCGTGCCAAGCGAGCAGGAATTGAAAGTCGCAGCCTCGGGTTATCTGCAGTGTTTTGGTCAGCTGAGTTCAGTTGTGCAATGTGCACACGCACTCTAGTTCTGCAAGAATGTGGTGATGCGTAGGGAAGTCCACTTGCACAGTGCAGTGCGTGTGAAACGTCGCCCGGATCTTGGCCACATGTCCAAGGTGGAGTCGAGGCTCTCGCGGTCCTTCACCGGAGGTGCTGTTGCGCACATGATGTACATCGTTAGCCCTCCTTGCTTCCCTTCCCCTGGCTTGGTCGCCACCCTAGTCAATGCCTTCGGCTGAAAGAACCTCATGATACCCAAGTGTAAGTTCACAAACCCAGAATCTCAGAAAACATAGGCATGTGCCACGCACCGGCGTTGGAGCGTGGGCTATAAGTAGGAGGGTTGACAGTGAGACTGAGCCGCGACCTTCCTCCAGGGATGCCTCTCGGAGAGTGCACTGCCGCCGCGCAGAACAAGGGCACCCTGCGCATTGCGCAACAGCCGCCGGGAAATGAGATGAGCTTATTTGTGTCTGGAAGAAGCTTCCAGGGTTCGAGATCAGACAGGGAAACCTTCGGTCGGATGCGAGAAAGTGGAGCTGTTCCTTACGCCCCAAACCAGAACGGTACTGTGTTCTTTTGCGCAGTGTTGGACTGTTCAAGCACGTCAGGCTCCTTGACCAGTGCACGGACAACATGAACAGCTGGATGCTTGGCTGAGTTCGGAGCCGTGCAAACCGAGGGATTCCAGCGGACGTTGATGGCGCATGAACAGGCATGCAATTGCTGTTCACAAGGCTTGACGTCGGGTAGGGTCTCAGGACACTCGACTGCGATGTGTCTGGTACGACGGTCGTGCAACAAGGTTAATTGAGGCATTTCATCCTCACATGGAGCCGTTGCATGATTGGAGTCATGGTCTCTCTACAGCACATCCCCACCCAACCCAACTGCCTGCAGGAAGAATCTGCATGCCCCGTCTGTCTGCCAAGATCTGGCTTGAGCTGCCGCGTGGTTCGGTTAGAGCCGCTAGGGCACCCTTGATCTGGACAATTCAGGGGTCAATGTTGCAGAGATTCGGGCTTTAACTACGGTTGGACCTAGAGGTTGTGGTTTCAGAGATCAGCAAGCAGCAACGCCGATGCTGCCAGAGCGCATGGAGCACGAAGACGGATAGCTTGGGTATGGAATCTAGTTAAGTCGCTGAGCCACAGTACAGACGTGAAAAGCCAAATTCTCAGTGATGCCGATTCAGAAGCTCTGAGAGTTCGGCTTTAAGCACATCATCCGCTCTAAGGCTCACTGTTGCCGAGCGGGTGTGGGTCGTATTCATCCGACCACGGGATGGCAAGAGACTTTTGAGTAAGTTCGCCATCATTACCTTTATATGACTGGTTGCAACTGCCAAACACGGCGATGCATTTTGCTGAGAGGATCGCTTGCTTCTGAAAACGGTCGGGCAGTTGGAGGTACATGTCTCTTCCACTGGTTTCCTGAAGCTGGAGGTCACCTACGCGAACGGCTGGAAATGAGTCGGATGCTTTGAGCGGGCTCGGAAGGCTTCAGCCGTTTTTTTCTGTCTGCGGCTTTGTGTTGAGATGGCCCGGGCCTCTGGCAATGGCGGTCCTTAAACTACTCGATGTTTATGTCGTCGTAGGACCCAGGAGCGATTCGCCGAGAAGGGCCTGTTTCCCTTAGCTGGGCACAGCGGCACAGCCATTGCCACGGCTCAAATGTGGGATTCGAGTCGCGGTGGCCCACGGAGCTCCTGTTTTGGTATCCGCCGGGGTGTTCCCCCCACGTTTCATAGGCCACTCCGGCGATGATCGCTGCTTTGCCGCATGTAGATCGCGTGGTCAAGAAGACTTGCTTAGCTAAGTGTTCTCCATGCGATAGCAAGCCACCCCATGAACGTTGGGGTGAATGAGCTCTTTTTGTCTTTTTGCTGTACAGTCTTCGAGTTTCACACATTTTGAGCGCTTTGTAGTTCTCCGCTTTATGAAGCATGACGGCCGGAAAGCAAGGAGAAAGAGCCCCCACAGTGGAAGGTCGAGTGAAGGTCGAGGCTTAGACGTGGTGTGCCGTTGTGGAGGGATCTGTTTGCTCCGTCTACTGACACCCCCTTCTTGCACAGCTGTCGCCAGAAGAAGGAAGCTATGCGTTAGGCTAGCTCATCGCTTCTGATCTTAACAACATATCGCAAGACCCGAAGCTGGGCAGGCCAAGCTGCTCATCTTGACGATTCTGCTGCTTCGTGCAATTAGAGCGGTAAACCCGAACCCCCCTGGTGCACATCCCATTTCGAAGGGTGTTCAGGCCTGCGCAGTTGTTCCACACAGGTTGATTTTGGCAGCAAACGTCCTCAAGAGATCCACAAAAGCTTGGTGTTTAATGTGCTTTGTCGCGTGGGATCGCAAGAGCCCATCTTGAGTCATGTTCGAGTAGCTGCCAGCCTGCCAGCCTGCTAGCCTCACTGCCGAGGTCGCCATGATGCGCAGGTCGGAAACCGGGGTTGCTGTTGAAGTTGGGATTCGGATTGCGGGGACTTTCCGGATTCGTGATTCCACACCCAATCGTGTGCTGCTCATGTAGGAAACCAGGCGTCCACAATCCTTCACATTGACATGCCCATGAAGCACGAGACCATGATGTTTTGACATTAAGGAGAACAGAAACTAACAGACATGGACAGACTGACCCTAGTTTTTGCGGCGCAAGCCTTGCTTTCTCGCTTTCCAAGCCCCGTCGTCTTGATCGGCTCTCCGAAGTCGTGAGAACAGAAAACCGATTGCAAGGGCCAAACCAGGCCCCAGGCGAAACATGGATTTTGCTTTCCGCGTGTTTGTCGCGAACATGTGTGCCGGTGCCGGTGCCCCTCGCACCGCTGCTCGTTCTTGCAGATCATAAGGTTCCATTGTATTGTTCTTTGCTCTCATATCCCCGTGATTTCGGGATTTCCAGGGCTTGAAGGGTTCAGTTGACGCCGAAAAGGGGCCTGTCATCGGAGCGGGGCCCATCCATGAAAGAGCAGTTTGGAAATGCGAAAGCCGAAGGCTGGGGACAGTCGGATACGTCGCCCCGGAAGTTGTGGATACCAGCAGCCCGGCAGCACTTCACTTTCAGAAGACTAGGTATGAGTACGGTATGAGGAACCACGGTCTGTGAGGCGAGGTCTGGTGCGAGTTCCGGGTCACAGGCGGACGCCTGGGTTCGGCTTTGCGAAACTCCAAGAGCTTATAGTCTTGCGTTTGGGAACGATGTTGCCCAGGTTGTTGAGAGCAGGGAGCCCACCCAAAGTTTAGCTGTTTAGCTGCCACCACAAGCAAACTGCAAGCCCACTGTGCCGAGGAAGCCCAGGATATGGCAGCCTAAGCAGCGGCCCCAGCTTCCCGCTTCAGCGTGCGAACCGGATAGCAACAGCTCGCGTTAGCTTCAACGGACTGCATTGCCACCCAGAGCCGTCAACTCCAAGCTTTCTCCCCCAAGGTGATGTGTTCAGCGCCGGAGCGCTGCTGTTTTACGTTTACTGCGGAATCGAGGAGACCGGGCGCATGGGATCGTATGTTGGGTTGAGTGACGGTCAAGGAAAGATGAGGTGAGAAGAGGTGGCGGTTTTAAGTTTTGCGCTTGGGTGGGCAGCAAACATCGCCACTGTTTGTGGCATGCGCTGTGGAAGCGATGGCCAAACATGCGAGTGTTGTGCGCTCTGGAACACAAGAACGAACTGCTAACCGACTTCATGCCGTTTCCAAACAGGTCCGGCACGATTAAGCAATTAGAGCATGTGAAGCTCTCTGGACTGTTTGCTCCTTTCGAGGCGTCACGGTGCTTGAGGTCTTTTAAAGGGCGCCAGGGCTCCCGGAGAATTGTAGCCCCAGTGAAGCACCGTTTGACAACTCTTGTTTTTTGGGAAGGCCTTGAGGG